AACCAGAGAAACGCATCAAAGAATGGAAAAGATGACCTATAGTTTCTGATTGTGAAAGTTTAATACAGAGAAGTCTCAAAAAAAAAAAAATATTTACAACTCAAGTTTATAAGCCAAAATTAACCATTTACATTTAAATTATCTTTTTAGATTTATAAATTAAATTACGTTACTTATAAGTTAAAATTTCAAATCCTAAAAATCTCTCTGGATTTAATTTTGCTCTCCTCCATCTATGGATAATCTTGACTTGGGAACCCTGGGGGAAAAAGGACGGCAAGTTGAGTACAGAAAAGTAATAAAAGGAAGAGAAGAGAATGATGTTATGGATAAGGTTCACAAGAAGTAAGGGGTGACGTGGCTGTTGTCCTCCTTCTTTCTAAATTAAACTACTAATTTTTTTTCAGTCTAAAAAAAAAAACTTATAGGACTTTTTTCCTACTCTTTTTTCACTCTTTTTTTCTCTGCTTTCGTCTTCATTTTTTTTTAAAAAAAAGAACTTAACTTGTCTTAACAAGATTTGCTTTCATAATTCAATGAGAACAATGCTTACATTAAGTTTTTTTTTTATATAAATTATACTCATCTTGTTTTATTTATAAGATAGAGAAAGAAGAATTTTTTTGTCTTTTTTATAAGGTATGAGAAAAAAAATTTTGTATAGATTTACAATTTTAATCTTCATTTCTTATTATGTTAACTTTGTTTATATAAAATATAATATATATTAAATAGAAATAAAGTTAAAAAATTATTAAATTTTAATTGAGAGGTAATAAAGTTTAAGATTTTTCTTGGTTTGTGTGAAACATGCTGGAGCCTGGAAGTGACTTTCAACATATTTCATCCTATTTATATAAGTTACTTCCAACATGTTTCACACAGATAAAAAAAACCTTAAAATACATTAGCTCTCTATTAAAATATAACAATTTTTACCTATATTTAATATATGCACATTTCAAAAGAGATAACTATCTACGTTATAATAAATAAAGGGTAAAATAGTACATTTATGCTGAAAAATTAATGAAGTGATTTATAAATAGGCAAAAAAAACTTCTATCTCTACCCTATAAATAGGACTAGAAGAGTATTAGTTATGTTCAGGTCCCCAATCAAATAGCATTTAATTATAAATTCATATGAAACAAAAAAAAAGATATATGGCCATATATAATTGGAGAACTTGATATAATAAATATAAGTAATTTTACCTAAGGTTTTTCATTCAATTAAACCTTTGAGATTGGCAATTATGAACATTTAATTATTAACTAAATTTTAAGTAATTATGCAAATTTATTTTTGAATAATAAAGACAATCGTGATTCTAATAAATTTTAAAAATTAATCAAAATTACTAAAAAAACTAAATTATAATTATATTTAAAAAAAAAAAGATAAAATGATGTTAATAAAAAAAAATGAAGATTGGGTACGAAGCAATCCAAACCAGAGAACTAAAACTACTCCCAAGAGACCTGCATAAAAGGAATAAGAAGAAGCCACCGAGGGAAAAAAAAAGGGTAGGAAAGCATGAAGCAAAAAAAAAAAAAATGTTGAACAACATTAGATAAAGAAGTATTCTAGTCCTGTCACTAGGGAAGAAAAAAGAAAAATGACAAAAAATATTTATTAAATTTTAAAATAATAAATAAGTAATGTTAACTATTTTCATAATGGTTTTGAGATCTAAAAATCACCTATATAACATTTTAAATAATTTACCAAGCATTTTTTGTCATTTTTTTCCTAAAAAATTATTCATCTTCATCATATTAATAAAATGTTGTACTGTTATGTTATTAAATTTGTAAATAAAATTAAAAAAAAATTCTTATTGTACATTGTCGACAAAATGATATGAATCTTCCACTAAAACTGAGAAGCAAAAATACAAAACCATTAAATATTTTTTCAGAACATTTTATATATTTTGGGCCAAGAAAATCTTTTAGAATCTTCCTTATAATAGCTGAAAAAGGAATATTCCTTATAATGAGGACAAGAGAAGTATATGAATATGACTATTTATTTTAAAAATCTACGAAGAAGATAAAAATAAAATATGAAGTAAGAAATACAAAACAAAACACTCCGTTTAAATAATAACGAGTAATTTTTCTGTGAAGAAATTTGACGCAGAAAAATTAAAAATTATTAAATTATAAGAAATACGAGTATAAGATAATGATCCATGTCCTCGTCGACACTTTTCTTCATTCAGATATTTAATGTAAATTAAAAAAAAATTCGATAGCCTGAGAAAAACAGATAAAGAACAAAGCAAAGGTTCGTCTTGTTCTGTGCCGACGTTTCCTGTGACACCCCCCCTCTATTTCCTTCCCTTTCTGCACGTGACCCACCTTCTTTTTCTCTCTCATTTTACATTAATTCATATCCTTTTCTTTTTTAAATAATAGAAATGATGACGATGATTCCTTAGATAAAGTTATTTATACCTTTTGTGTCAAGTTTTTTTTAATTACATATGATAATTTTTTTATATAAATTTATAATTAAATATTATTAAATCTTAATATTTTAAAAATATGATATGTAGTTACTCCTCCGGTCCTAAATGTAAGACCCTTATACTAGAGAGTATAAGGGTCTTACATTTAGGACCGGAGGAGTATTAGATAACTTGACATAATAGATATAAAAAATTTAATGTAAATATTGTCCAAAATTTTATACTCAATCTGATCCATAATATAAGGACTTCTAAAAAAATAGCTTAGTCCAAAACGTAAGAGTCCGTTTGAAATTGTTTATAAACAGTTTTTTAAACGTAATTTATAAAATATGAGATAAATATATAAGAGAAGTTTTGTTTTAACTTACGTGAAACATACTTATAAATGATTTTAAATAGGACCTAAATCACTTTAAAAGTAATTAATGTATATTTATCAATTGTGTCCCGGCAATTAATGCTTAGATGACTCTTCCTATTCTTCCATTTCCTTTGCAGCCTCATTTAATATGGATAAAATTTTAATTTTCATCACTTTTTGTTGACCCCCTTTTATAATTTTATTTTTCAGATCCAAATGCATGCATGCCAAAAATCTCATTATTAATATGAAAGTTTTATTTATGGCAATTATGTTTATAAATAATTTTCATCACATACTTTCATCTTTCCTATGGAGCTGTCTCAATTTGTGCATTTGGATTGAGCATTTCAAAACAGAGACAATTTAAAAGAATTATCACAAAGAAAAGGAAGGTAGTACTCCTCTTACCCTAATTATAAGTTATTTTAAATATATTTATATATATCAAGAAAACCTTTAACTTCGTCAATTCTTATTTAAAATTTCATAATTTTTTAACTTTATCTTTATCTGATATACATTATATCTTGTGTAAATAAAGTCAACATAATAAATAAAACACAAAATTACATATCCATATAAAAAATTTCTCTCAGTATTTTATAAATAAAACAAAAAAATATTTTCTTTATTCGTCTTATAAAATATGACTAGAAGTCTAGAAGAGTAAACTCAAAGACACATAAAATCCAAAACATTCACAATTTTCCAGATTAAAAATTTGATTTGTCATTGAGTTTATTAAGATCATAGTTTAGTGGTCGTGATTTAAACCAACGTCACACTAATCACAATTAAAAATAATATAATTAAATTAAATTATATATAAAAAGAGTATTATTTAAATAAAATATATTAATTTTCATATATAAATCATACGTAATCCAATATAATGAAATTACTCAAATCTAAAAAAGTTATAATATCTAATTAAGTTAATTCATTAGAAACTCTCAATTGGATGGACTAAGAGATTAGTTCATATATGTTCATTGATTTACTAGCTATATTGGTTGTGACTCGAATTAAGTTTTAATACCATATTTAGTTTTTAATATAAGAATTAAATAATTAATTTATAAATATTAAAAAATTAATTAAATTAGTTATTTTTAATAAATATATACAATTTTTTTAAAATATAATTTATTAATTATATATATTACAACTATTTTTACTAAAACTTTTAACATGGGCAACACATCAACATTGAAAAACTATTTTAATAAATAAATAAATATAAAAATAAAATAAATAATACTTTATATTTTAAATTAAATTGAATGTTGAAGTAACTATTATATGATATTAATAATAAGAAATATTCTTTTAATTTTAAATATAAAATCTATTTTATAATATAATTTATATTATAAAATAAGTTTTATATTCAGTATTGAAAAATATTAACATTTTCTTCATGCAACAAACGTTAATAGTCACTAATAATATAATATAATTTGATTTCTAAGACCATTAAATTACCATTTCGCCATTATTGAATAAGCTGACGTTTCTAGATTCTCAAAACCCTCACTCCACCGGGCCCCACCCTAACCTCTGGCGCTGCACTGGCCCCCTTCCACACACTGCTTCCCTACAAAAGCCTATGCTTTTGTTTTTTAAACTTATTCACTGCCACCATCATGCGTCCTTATATTTTATTACCATAAATCCCTCTGTATTCGAATACTGCTTCCTCAAACTCTGAACATGACGTCATCGTTATTCCCTCCCCCGCCTTCTTCCCAATCACATCCCTCTCATTCAAATCCAACGGCCCTGATTGCCTAAATATTCCTGATTGGGGCCCACGTTATTTGGTTCGAACTTGCCCTGAAATGCATGGTGCATTGGATTTGGATCCATAGGGATTGACGGATTGTGGATATATATCAAGAGTGAGGTCAAATCCGTCATTTCACTTCCTCTGGGAACATAGAGTTCTGGACTCCAACGTCGCTATCATTTAGACCGCCACGTCACGACATGTCAGAAGCTCACAGTCTGGCACAGTTGACGAAATGTGGAGACCAATTAGAATCCGCCACGTGGAAGGGTATTATAATGACAACTCTCTCATTACAGCTGGATCAGGCATCCTCTTCCTGCGTATATAAATAGCCCATCCTCCTTATTCGTCTTCACCTTGCTCTTTAGATAATCCTTCTCTGATACAGTTGTTCTGAGTTTGACCTCGAAAATGCCTCTTATTTACCATCATGCCATTGTCTTCTTCACTGTGTTGTGGCTGTGGCTTGTGGCTGAGGGGGCTCTGGTACAGCAACAGCCCTTGGTGCTCAAGTACCACAACGGTGAGCTCCTGAAGGGGAAGATCACCGTTAATCTTGTCTGGTATGGAACCTTCACTCCCATCCAACGGTCCATAATCGTGGACTTCATAGAATCCTTAAACTCCCCGAAGGCTCCACTTCCTTCGGCGGCCACATGGTGGGGCACCACCGGGAAGTACAAGGGCGGATCCTCTGCTCTCGTCGTAGGGAAGCAATACCTCCACGAGACGTACTCTCTTGGTAAGTTCCTCAGGTCGAGGCACTTGATCGCGTTGGCGTCCAAGTTCAACGAGCTTGACTCTATCACCGTCGTCCTCACTGCCAAGGATGTTGCCGTCGACGGGTTCTGCGTCAGTCGATGTGGTACTCACGGGGCGATCCGACCTGTGGGAGGTAAGCCTCGCAGAGCTTTTGTCTGGGTTGGGAATCCCGAGACTCACTGTCCAGGTCAATGCGCGTGGCCATTCCACCAGCCCATGTATGGCCCGCAGACTCCGCCGTTGGTGGCGCCGAACGGTGACGTCGGTGTTGACGGAATGATCATTAACTTGGCCACCTTGCTGGCCGGCACCGTGACGAACCCCTTCAACAATGGCTACTTCCAGGGTCCACCTACGGCGCCGCTCGAGGCTGTATCGGCTTGTACTGGGACTTTCGGGAGCGGCTCGTATCCCGGATATCCGGGCCGGGCTCTGGTAGACAAGACAACCGGGGCGAGCTACAATGCACACGGCGCGAACGGCCGGAAGTATTTGCTTCCGGCGATGTGGGACCCTCAGAGCTCGGCGTGCAAGACTCTGGTTTGAGCTGACGAGGACGATGATGGCTAACTTTACACGTGGCGGAATCTGATGGAGCGGGTGTAGATATGGATGGGTAGGGACGGATGCAGGGGATGATGATGTTACGAAATGCGGAAATGGAGGGAAAACAAAAGCTGCAATGAAACATGTAGTAGTTTGTCTGATTGTTCATAGGCCTTTGAAGTTTGGATCAGTATGTGACGTGTAAATTCTGTGGCTCTCTTGAAAGAGGAATATCATGTTAAAAATATGCAAAATGAGGAATAAATAAAAATCACATAATTACTACTTCTTCCATTTTTTATTATAAGAGACATTTGATGCTTATAGCATGTTTCTATATATAAGAGACACTTACAAGTTGTCTTTACTTTTTTGTGTTGATTTTTTATTTTATTCATATTTATTATCTTCAATTCACCCTCTCTCTCCCTTCCACTTCTTTTTCTTTTAATAATTTAATTGTTCTTTCTTATACTCTCTCCTTATTAATGAGGGTATTTTTGAAAAAAAATTATACTTTTTACACATTAATTGTTCTTAACTAATTTTAACTATTTTTTTGATCAACGTACTTTGGTTATTTGTCTCTTATAATAATAAGGAACGGAGCGGAGAGAATATATTATAAGAGCCATGGGTTTACGTTCTTTTCAAGCTATTTCTTAAATTTAAACTTCCAATGGGGTGTTTGTTTCCCGAGAAAGTGAATGAAATTGGTATATTGTGTTGGCTTTCATTTACTAGAATAATAGTAGGGGAAAGCATAGGCTTTGTTTGTTTAGAAGAAATGGATGGATTTGCTCGAGAAAAATTTGATATTGTAGTGATTGGTGGGGTCAGAGAGGGAGGAAGAGCATCATCATGGTGAGGTACAGTAAATGATGAGGGGAAGAACTGATTCATCTGAATAAAGAAAGCCAAATTAATTGTCTTTGTTTGTTTGTTTGAATTGATGGGGCTTGCGGAGTAAAATGTCTACTTTTATTAGATGAAGGTGAAATCTTTCAAATCACACACACAAGATGGCGTGTGAAGGAGTTCAAAGAAGCTTTTCTCTTTCCTGCATATTTCATCATGTGTAATTCATGTGTCAAAAAAAAGTTGTCAACTTGATGAATTATTATCATTATTTCTGATGAATCACTTGATGAATTATCAAGTTGCTGTTCTTTTGGGCGGAAAAAAGTTACCTTTCTCACGTAAAAGATAGTTCTTGTCATTAATGGAGCTTGCTTCCACTCAGTGGTTACCAGTTACTGCCAGGCCACACTCCCATAAAGAAACCACCTTTTCAAATCGATCAAAATTGAAAATTTATGATGCATGAAATGAAACTGCCCAACTGGTGCTTATTGCAGAAACAAGTAAATACATCATGGACCAAAATTTTATTGCTACACTTGAAAGGTAAAGTTTTGTGGGTTAATTTAAAAGAGAGAGGCAAGAGAGTGGAGTGAGGTAAGCCTTCAGCTTACAAATGAGATGGAATCCAAACTTTCACTTACAATGAAACTTGCATATCACTATAGTAGCAATTAACTTTATTCCTAGATTTGAAAGGTAAAGTTTTGCGGGTAATTTGAATGGGAGGCAAGAGAAAAAATAGGATCGGTCCTTTCACTTACATTGAAACTCTAATGTCATAATAGTAGCTATTGGCTTTATTGCTAGTATATTTGAAAGGTAAAGTTTTGTGGGTTAATTTGAAAGAGAGGCAAGAGAGTGGAGAGAGGTAAGCCTTGATCTGCGGAGTCTCTGAGCAATCTTAAAAGCAAGTTCAAGAGACTGTGAAGCATTAAGCCTGGGATCACAGTGGGTGTGGTAGCGTGAAGTCAGGTCATCATAAGTCACAGTTCTTGAGCCTCCCACGCATTCTGTCACATTCTGACCTGTCATTTCTAGATGAACTCCTCCTGGGTAGCTTCCTTCTTCCTCATGCACATCAAAAAATGCTCTCAGCTCAGCCTACCACAGACCCCACAAATTCCAAATCAAATTCTCAGCTTCAAGCTTTATAATAACATAGAGAAATATATAAAGAAAGAAGAAAAGGATATGAGAAGATTACTCTGATAGAATCAAAGGAGCGAGTTTTGAGTCCAGATGGAGCTTTGATGGTGTTGCCATGCATGGGATCACTGACCCATGTCACAATTTGGCCTGCTCTGCGAACTGCTCTGATTAGATGTGGCAGTTTCACTCTCAGATTATCAGCTCCCATTCTTACTATCACTGTTATTCTTCCAGCTTTGTTCTTTGGATTCAATATATCTATCAGCTTCACCAGTTCATCAGGATCCATCTTATGGCTCACCTGTGAAAAAGCAAAGAAAGTTTGCATTTTTTTCCTTTCAAATAACCATCTGGAACAGGACACTACAGCTTGAAGCTAAAATCCGCCGGTGTGGATCTTCTAAAGTTAAAATCTTGAGAAAGAACTCTGATTTGGATCCTCTAGAGTAAAATGCTTGCAAAGAACTTGTGAAATTAAAGAGATGGAGGGGGGAAAAAAAAAAAGGGGACTAAGCTCCATTCACACTCTTACTCTGACATTTGTATGCCACCGTTTCCTTCGCTAGAATACTTCTAATGTTAGAGGATCCAAATTCTCAGCTTGGAGTAGCTTTTAATTTCAAAGAATCAAAATCTTGAGGCTGCAGGATCTTCTAATTTCAGATTTTTTGGGATTTAAGCTTCCAATTGTGTCTTTGAAGTCAGAAGTAGTTCAGAGTTCTAAGTTCACAATTCAAAGCACATGCTCAAGCAAGGCATAGTTCAGCGTTCACAATTCAGATTTTCCGGGATTAAAACTTCCATTGTGTCCTTTTGGATACATAATTATAATCTTCTAGAACTAGAAGAAGACACAGAGAGATAATTAACTATTAATTGAGTGGAGAAATGCTTTCCAGCGGAGCCTCTATCTGTAAAGTTTGTCAGGATATTTCTCCTTTGTTACTAACTTTTTCTAACAATTGTTACTTTTTATCTACATATTATCTCGTTGTGACCTGTAAAACTCGTTCGTTTTAATATCATTTTGTCTTTTTTCCAAATGAGCACAAGGAGGATAAACAAAATTAATACAATACCTTGATGCCAATTGGATTAGAAACTCCTCTTAAAAACTCCACATGAGCACCATCAAGTCGTCGAGTGCGTTCTCCAACCCATAGCATGTGAGCTGAGCAATCATAGTGAAGCCCTGTAGTAGAATCCTCCCGAGTAAGTGCTTGCTCATAAGGCAGAAGCAAACACTCATGGGAGGTCCAAAAATCTGTCGTGGTCATGATTGGATGCTCATCTGTGAATCCAGCTGCAATCATGAAGCCAATGGCTTCATCCACTCGGTAAGCCAATTCGCGATACCTGTTAGGACACACCAGAATGAGCAAATAGAATAGTAAGTAGCAGAAGAATTCCGGAGCAAATAGAATGATCTTCTGATGTTCTGCAGAAAAACTCCAAAATTTGCCAGTTCTTGAAATTGGACTAGAATGGCTAGATTAAATTTTACATTTTGAAAAGATTGTAATTAAATATCCATTGGATTATGATGAAATCCAATCCTGATTCACTTCATTGCTGAACTTTAGAAAAGCACAAGAAATATGCCAAGGGGTGTATCTCAGATAACAGTCATTCCATTTTACTCTAACTGCAGGCAAAACAGGATGCAGTCATTACTTCCTATTCAATCTTTTCTGGATTTAATCAGCCTTTCCCAGGAGTTCATTCAGAAATAGAAACAGAAACAAAGGAAAATGATACAGAAATCCTCTTGATTTCCATCCTTCCCCTTCAGTCTTCCATTATCTTCCAAGTAAAAGCAAAAGAATTGATTCAGTTCTCAAAAGGGAAAGAAATGTGGCCCGGTGTGCAAGGCTTCCGCCAGGTGGGATCTGGGAAGAGGCAAATATACGCAGATTTATCCACAAGAGTGACAGAGAAATTTTTTTTTAATAATAAAATAAAGATTTGAACCCATGACCTCTAGGATTACATGGAGGCAATCTTACTGTTATTTCAAGGCTCATCCTTCAATTCTCAAAAGAAAGTAAGGCAAAAATACTTATATCTAACTTAAATGACAAACAAATTACAGAAGAGAAAATAGAAAACATACCTGTCCCCCTGCTCGTTGTGATCCATAAAATCTAGATTCCATTGGCTGACCCTTTGTATGGCAGCATAGCCTCCAGTGGCAAAGGCCCTCAGAAGATTGAGAGTAGCAACTGATTGACAGTAAGCTCTTTCCATTCTCTTTGGATCTGGAACTCTTGATGCTTCCAGAAATGCATCACCATTCACAATATCACCCTTATAACTTGGCAGCTTCACTCCATCCCTCTCCTCGTATGGCTCTGATCTTGGCTTTGCAAATTGACCTGCCATTCTTCCAACCTAAGTCAAAAGTTCAAGTATCTATGTGATCAATCCCATTCAATATATATATGTGTATATGTATAATCATTGATGAATAGGGACAAAAAATCAGTTTCAGTCACAGCTCTAGGAATACTTTTAGCCCGGATATTGAGAGGTTTTCAAAGGAAGAACTTGATCACCACCAAGAACAGCACTCCACTTTTAAAGTTCCATTGGATTGATAGTTATCAACCCCAACAACAGCTCTCTACTTTTCCTCCAAAACGGCTTACTTATTCACCCGGACAAGAGACTGTTTCAAAGTTCCTTTTTTTCACCAGACTGTTTCGAAGTTTCGCCCTCCTCACAACCCCAGAAGCAACACCCCCCCCCCCTTTTAAATCCAAAATGGCTCATTAATCCACTTATACAAACAACAATAAATATCAAGTTTCCGATAATCCACTGGGAAGAAATTCCCAATTCCAGCATTCTTGGAATTGCTCTGAATGAATACATGAGAGAGAGAGACTCAAAGAGACCTTTATGATAGGCATCTGGGCACCGAACATCAAAACAATGCTCATTTGAAGAATAACGCGAAAGGTATCACGAATATAATTGGCATTGCACTCCTTGAAGCTCTCAGCGCAATCCCCACCCTGAAGGAGAAAAGCGTTGCCCATGGCGGCCTGAGCTATTTTATCCTCGAGGCTCCTCATTTCTCCGGCGAATACAACGGGGGGGTAAGATTCGAGGGTTTTAAGGACTTGATCGAGCTCATTTTGATCCGGATACTCTGGAAGCTGAAGGGCCTTCTTGGTCTTCCAACTATCAAGCGACCATTTGGTCTGAATTGAGGCGGTGCCCGCGGTGGAAGGGACGGCTGATTTCGAAGCCTCAGTAGAATTCGCGACTGTATTGAACCTAGCGCCGGTGGGCGGCCAGAGGTGGCGGAATGTAGGAAAGGGAGAAGAAGGATAGGAGTGACGAGCAGGTTTGTAAGTGATGGGCCTGAGAGACGAAGAAGAAGAGAGAGCCATCTCGAAACAGAGCTATGGCGAAGAGAAGGATTCAAAGGTGAACGATATATAAGCTTTGGATTGCGAATTTGTTTATAGTGTGATTTATTTGAAGCGATCAAAGGCCCCTAAAGTGCATGAAGGCACGGAAACATGGTACGAGGAACCCACACACGTACGTACTACTTTATATAATAGACACACGTGGTTTATTTATTTTTCATTTAAAAGTCATTTTGACATATTTAAGAGAGTTCTAAAAATAATAAAGCAGTAGTAATTTAATGATAAGAAAATATAGATATATTATTTTATTGAATTTAAATAAATCTTAAATAATCCACGAAAGATAATGAAAAAATTAACCCATAAAATTCCAATCCTACTAATAAGAGAAACCTAAATATCTTAAATAGACCTTCATTTACCATTATCTCAATGCATCACAAACTCAACTTATTAGTTATTACTAGTAAATTAAATAATCTTTTTTTTACACCTCACTCTCGAACAAGTTTTAAAAGCTTGTACAGAAGAATATTTTTTCCCTCATCACACTGAAAATTTTTAAGTCCTTATTATAGTATATATTATGGCTTTTACTTAATATAAAACGACCTACAATTATTTATTCATGTGTTTTAGCAGAAGCAAAAGTGGCATATAACTTCAAAAGGGGGCATATATAACTGGTTCCCATAGGTTAAAAATTTTAAACTCAACCCAACAATTTTATTTGATGCAACATATATATTCAAAACACATGCGAAAGTTCCATATATATATATATATAATACACACGTTTTATTCTAATACATTGACCACAGGCATAAACATGATCTTATTCTAATTACTTATCGTATTTGATTTATGCAGTCCATTCACGCCTAAAGGAGTAGCATTTTGGATTCGCTATGACTTGAATGCTAAGCAAAGAAGCAACTAAAGGCTTCATCTTCTCAGTGCCCTTTATGATCACCAAGAATAGAATTCTATACACAATGATCATCCCCAGAAGAATGGCAAGATCAACCCACTTAGAATAGCTCATGTTAACTTCCCATTTGTTTCTCAGAATCTCTTCCCCACTTAAATTACCAAATCTCAGTCCTTCAAACTCGTTCTTGAACAGTCCTTGGTAGGCGTATCTATGGAAGGCTATGTAATAGAGAGGATACTTCCAAAAGATTCTGGGAAGGTCATTAGGCAATCTGAAGAAGCCTCCTGCGAGGATCATGATGCCTTGAAGACCAGCACCGGTTATAATTCCCATGAGGAAGTTAGGGACGATGCTAGCCACTATCATCATCAGGCTTTCAACTAACATCAGACATGAAAATAGGACACAGCAGAAGAAGATAAAGTGTTCAGCAGAATTTTGAAGGCCTGGGAGGTAATAGGCTATGGCTCCCGGAATGACAGTGACGAGTAATAGATATGGGATCGAAGATAAGGTGTTCCCTATCACATACGCTATCACTCCATAGTGCCCATTTAGCCTTTCCCTTCCAAATACCTGCATCAGTAGGAATATGGAGACTTAAACCTTGAGGCTCATATGATGACTTCAACAAAGAGAAAATAATGCACACACACCTTCATCTCTTCCACAAAGGAAGGGAAGCCACCAATGGTCATGAAAGTTATGAAGGAGGACACAAAGGCAAGCAGTCCACCTCTATCCTGAAACAATGATTGAAAAAAAAAAATTAACTATTAGAAATATAAAGTGGAGAATGTCAGAGCATGCTCCAATATGTTACTCTTTCTTACTTGAATAGACACGGTGCTCATGCCCAAATCGTAGAAGACGGTGGCCAAACCTAGCGCCACAGCGATGTATATGATAAGGCGTAACCAGTAATAGCCTAAATCACGACGCATGTTCAAGAATGATCTCTTTGTAAGAACAATGCACTGAGTAGGGAAGCTTGCATGCGTTCTTTTCTTCTTCTCCACCACCATTCCACTTTCCTATAACCCACAATTGCATTAAACATTGCCCATCATTATCCTTTTGAGAAGGATATGTTATTTTCTTCTTTGCATTTTAGATAACATATTGTCAGTTATTCATATCTACATCAAGTTAGACACGGTTATTTTCTTCATGTGATATATATATAGAGGTCATATAAAATTTGTGCTCTTGATAGGGATGGAATACGGATTCGACATACCTGTGCAGATAATGCTGCTACTTCTGCTTGAACTTGTTGGTTGAAATTAGAAGACTTGTATGATTTCACAAGCATTTCTATTGCTTCTTCTGTAGGTTTCCTTTCAGGATCAGGGAAGCCCAATTCAATGTCCTGTTAAACCAGTAAGAATCTCAGTCAAATTATGTCTGGGTTTAGTTGCTTAATGGCTAACACGAAGCAGACCTGATCATCAAAATCCTTGTTTATAGTTTTCAAGAAATGATCGGACGGATTCTGGACAGCAGGACAAGGAAATCCATTTGAAGCAAAGAACTACAACATAAAACAGCGTACATCAGTATATAATTGAAACATGAGATCAGAACAAGACATGTGGATCTAAACCCTGACCTCACTTGCTGCAGAAATAGGACCAAAGAACACAGTTCTTCCGGAAGAAAGAAGACACAGATTATCAAAAAGCTGAAAGACTTCAGTACTAGGTTGATGAATAGACGCAATAATGGTCCTCTGAATCCCATCCTTTCGATCAAGGCTGGCGATTCTGCTCATGACATAGTACGAGGCTGCACTGTCAAGTCCACTGGTTGGTTCATCAAGAAACAGAAGTCTTGGACGTGTCAGGATCTCTATACAAATACTCACTCTCCTCTTTTGGCCTCCACTGATTCCCTTACAACCCCAACCTCCAATTCTGGTGTTAATGGCGTCTTGAAGACCCATTTCTCTTATTGTGAACTCGGCTCTCTCCTTTTTCTCTTCCTTTGACATTGTGTCTGGTAATTGAAGCTGAGCTGAATAGTACACTGCTTCTCCAACTGTTAGGGTTGTGAGCAAAGCGTCATCTTGTGTCACATATGCCTGAAACAAACAAGGTAGAAATAGATTATTAATTTTTAAAATCTTATAGGGTTAGCTCTAAATACTCTATCTTTCACATGTAACTTCTCTAAAATTGATATTAGGATATGTTAAGTATGAGCAAATTTGGCGTAAAGTGAGAAGTTTCACATGGAATGAGATTGGACTTAATAATATATAAGTGGAAGGATCTATAAACTCAACTTAGTTTTGTGTTAAAGTGGTGTCGAATTTGCCACTTATATTCTTCCTCTTGTTTCTCCTCAATCTATTTCGACTCCACTCATTTTATTCAATTCCGGTTGTAATAATTGATATTATTTTCGGTCCTTAATATGAGAATTAGTTGACTAATTTGAGTAAATTAAAGAAGATTGTTAAGTTAGCGATTTATAATCAATTAGTGTTATCTTCCTTATAATATCCTTACTAATCATGTGTATTGACCAAAACTACCATTTGATGGAAGTTTTAATATGTGCAACTACTACATGGGATACTTGGAAAAAAAAAATAGATAAATAAAAGAGACAAAATAAATTGAGGTTTGATACTAGAACCAAACTGAATATCAAACTAACTTTTGTATTAAGAACTGGAGGTAGTAATATGCTTTTAACTATATTGATAGTCTTCTTCTTCGTTTTTTTAGGTCACTGAGCGTATGACTGTTTTATTAAGTTTACAGAGCACAAGTTGATATCATCAGAAGGATGTCTTTCAGTTTTCTAACCTTTATTGTTATTTAACTAGATATTTATCTTCTCCAATTGTTCAATTATCATCAAGAAGAGTTAGATATAGCGAGAGATAAAGAAAGTGTTGAGATTTAATTACTATAATGTTGAGATTTACGTCTAAAATTTAGGGGAAATAATCGTACCAAGGATGAAATGATGAATTTAATCAAAGTGAAAATTATGCTCAATGACCAATTTTAAAAAATTAATTATTGAGAAGAAGCACAAATTTATAATTTTTTTTAAAGATCCTTGGCCCTTTTTAATTAAAATTTAAAAAAGTCGGAATCAAAAAATGCACCTTCAATGATTTAAGGAACAAAAATTCTCTCATTCCTTACTTCTTTCTGTTGCCGATGATGGAAGCACCACCATCATTGGTATTTTTCTGACGTTGGTGCTGCCACCGGCAACTTCTTTGGTGATTTTAGGGTTAAGAGATGAAATTTTATACAAGTTTTTCTAAAAAAGTAAAAAAAATTTACAAGTCAATCAAAGGAAATTTAATAATGGCAGTGAGAGAATTTAACATTCTCACAAAGCAAATTTTTAAGTGTACCCCTGGCAAAAACCATTTTATACACTGAAAGTAAAGAATCTAACACATCTAAAGCACAAATTTACAAGTCAATGTTCGAGAATTTAGTACTCAGCGACTGCAAATTTACATATACTTTTAAGAAAATGCAATAATCAGAGATCAGAACACAACTTTATACGCAAGTTCAAGAATTTAGTAGATAAAGATAATAAATTTACAAGTCTAGCTAATTTCAAAAATTTATCAAACTTCTTTGTTTTCATGCGTAATAGTAACAAATTAAATTAAAACATAGAGAAATTGAAAAAGAAAATGAGAGGAGGAAGCTAATTTTTCTTGATTAATGGATGAAAAAAAGTCTGTGTACCGAGGTCCCATAGGCGAGTACTTGTTTGTGGCCGTTAATAAGAATCTCCCCTGCCTGCCTTGTTTTTGGACCTAATCTCCCTGCAAAACATGTCATTCAAGTCACAATATTGTTCAGAGTTTAAATCCAGTAGTTTCTGGAAAAGACGACATCAAATTAAAATATTTTTGCACTCATACAAATTAAAACTTGAGATTTTGTGCTTAAACAATTATAACTCTTTTTTCTTATACGCAGAAGATATCTTATTATTGAAAGTAATTCTCATTTTGATGAGTACGAGCTCCTTTGTTTTCAAGAAGATTTTTACTCCTATCTTTCTATTTTCACATAGTAAATGTTATGGCCCTATCTATCATTTATCCGACCTTTAAAATTGGAGTTCCATCTAATCATGAGGTTAAGCATGCTTGGCATTTAGTTCAGTTTCTTAAGCATTTAGTCAGAAGTACGATCCACATCAGTGTGTGATAGTACGAGGGAATTAATCATTGTTACCGGTGATAGGCATCGTGGGCTCAACCCAAAAAAAATTGGAGTGGCATCTTTTGGTTTTGTTTTCGTCATTTAGTTTCAGGGAGATAAAATTATGCCCGCAAAAAGGTAAATGAAAGAATATCACCTGCTAAAGTATCCAGAAGAGTGGACTTGCCACAGCCAGAAGGACCCATGATGGCCAAAAGCTGACCGGGTTTGACATAACCAGTGAGACCTTCCAGTATTGTTCTGCTTCCATTAATCCCTTTCTTCTTCTTCTTCTTCTTATTCTTCTTCCTCCCACTTGAAGAAGCCCTCACCCACACATCCTTCCACGTCAGCCATATCCCCTTCTCTTCTCCCCCATCAATAACGTCATCACTCTTCTTCTTCTTCTTCGGACCGCTTGATGCTTCTTCTTCATCTATCCTCGTCGTTTCAATCTCTAGCCCAGATGGGCGTGGAGGATAATGAAGGGAAGCCATTGTTGGAAACTATGGAGAGAGCATAAGGGAGGGAGAAGGAGAGGGGGAGGAAGTAGTATAGTTGAATTTGGCTTATGCTGATTTAATTTATGTCCTTGAAGAACACGTATTTATAGAATGTTTAGCAACATTATAAACATGTTTTTTCAGATTTCCCCTTTCGTATCCATGTGGTCTTCTTGCTAATAATTTTGTATGTTTCCATTATTATATTATATTGCAATAGTCCAACGAAGTTGACAGCTTAATTATCTATCTACTAACTTTTTAGAGCTTTCAGGGAGTCTCGGTAAAATTAAAAATAAATAAGTAAATAAATAAATAAATAAATCAATATCTAAGCTGATGATTTTTGGCTAATGAATTCGTACATTCATTTTTATCTCCCTATAAATTAACATGATTAAAAATAATATTCCAATTCCTAGCTAAAAAGAAGTGCAAATAAAAAAGCCTGCTAAACTAATAAAAAAGTTGTGTTAACTTAATCAGGGGTATATGTTGAATTCAAACTTTAACTACGCACGTAATTGTGTTAAATACTTGGTGATAAAAGTTAATTATCACTCTTGTGGTCCCACTTAGCTCAAAGTCTAATGTGTCCCTTGATCTCAGGTTCATTTAATTTGTGGTTCTAGTTGAATTTGGACTCTAACTCCTTTTAACCAATATATATTTTTAATGTAGTGACTTGAGCTGATGTGGGGAATTGAATATGATGTAAGATAAAAATGGGTTTGATGAGTGTATGTGTCAGAAAACATATCTTGTTTAAATCAAATTATGAAATCCTTATAACTAAGTCCAATCACATGGTCGTCATCGTCGAGGATGAAAATGAGATGTTTGTTTTTGTCTAACATTTGCTTCCAGAGAAATTAAAGTTCCCAATTGTGAAAAGACCAAAGGAATATGACGACCTTAAAAAATTAGCTTCACTTTTAATATCTAAATTGTAATTAGCATTTTGTTGGGAAAATGATTAAAAAGTGCCTTCCAAAATGCCAAATTATGGAGGCTGAGTTTCGAAGACCAAATTGGTACCGTTGCACTAATTTGATATTTTGAAATGTTGCAAAACGATGTCCTTTGTCTTTTATTATTGACTACTTTTATTATTAGAGTTTAAGTAATTACTTTTATTTAGTTATTAACTACTTCAGTTTTGTTAATGACTACTTTTGTTTTTAAAGATCTGGTAACTACTCTAGTTTTGTTATTGGCTACTTTTATTTTAAAAATTTAATAAAAATATATTAGCAGCTAACGGAGATTTAGTTACTATTTTTGTTTAGTTATTTACCACTCTAATTTCTCTACTAATTACTTGTATTTCAAAATTTTGAAAAATGAATTAGGAGCTTCAGTATTACTTTTGAGGAACAAGAATAGTCATTAGTAAAACTAGAATAATAAATAACTAAACACTTGTAGCCACCGGAGCTCAGAAATGAAAAATAGTCAATATCAAAACTAAAATAGTAAATAACAAAGTAAAAGTAATCACTAAAATTATAGGATAGTGGTATCATTTCTCAACAATTGAAAATTCAAAAATAATATCGTAGCTTGATTTAATATTTTGAAATTTATCAACTTCATTTATCATTTAGTATTTTTGAAAAGGTTTTTTTTTTTGTTATCTTTCCATTTTTACATTTATAGTTGTTTAAACCCATTATTTAGTTACAGTTTTTGAGACTAAATATTATTAAATTATTTTTTAAAATTTAAATATCCTTTTTCTAAAGGAAAAAAATTAGAAAAGTCAATTACTGTAAGATCACGAGCCGTTTTAGTCAAGTTCTTCAATCATGTCCAAATCAAATCATATTCCCTCCTCCCGATCAAGATGAGATTTGCTTTGTTTGGGTGGATCTAAAAAATAATGGGTTATATTACCAAAAAAAAGGGTTATTAGAGTGACAGAAACTTATGATTTCTTTCACTGACTACTGTGATTTTAAAAAAGAAAAAAAGAAAGAAAGAATTAGCTTATTCAATTGAAAATTGAGGTGCCGCTTTTTGTGAAATATTTTATACAACAACAACAAGCCTTATCCCACTAAGTAGGGTCGGCTACATGAATCACACGACGCCATCGTGCTCTGTCAACAACCCAATCCTTAGATATGTTGTTGATTAGGAGGTCTCGATCAATGACCTCATTCAGCGTTCTTCTCGGTCTTCTCCTGCTTTTTTTTATAGGACTCCATCTTGTTTGATCCACCCTCCTCATCGGGGCCTCCAAAGGCCTTCTCTGCACATGTCCAAACCATCTTAAGCGATTTTCAACCATTTTCTCTTGGATAGGTGCCACACCGACTCTTGTCCTGATCTTTTCATTTCAAATCCTATCTTTTCTTGTATGACCAGACATCCATCTCAATATCCTCATTTCTGCTACTCCGACTTTGTGCTCTTGTTTTCCCTTTATTGCCCAACATTCACTACCATACATCATAGCTGGTCTTATAGTAGTCCGATAAAATTTTCCTTTAAGTTTCTCAGGTACCTTTTTATCGCAAATAACTCCGGTAGCTTTCCTCCACTTTAACCAGCCAGCTTGTATTCTATGAGAAATGTCTCCATCAATTTCCCCATCCTCGTGTATAATGGATCCTAGGTATTTAAACTTTGATACTTGAGGAATAATTTGCTCTCCCATCCTTACCTCCAATCCCCATTACCTTGCCTCCCTCCAAAATCACAATGCATATATTCTGTTTTGTTCCTGCTCAAACGGAAACCTTTAGACTCCAAAGTCCTTCTCCATAACTCCAAACTAGTAATCTCTTCTTTTGATTCCGCCATAAGAACTATATCATCCGCGAAGAGCATGGACTTAGGGATTCTTTCTTGAACAGGTTCAGTAAGAACATCCAGAACAATGTTGAACAAGTACGGACTCAGAGAAGATCCCTGATGTAGGCTAATCTTAATAGGGAAGTCCTTTGTCTTCCCCCCAGGCGTCCTTACACTGGTAGTTACCGCCTCATACATATCTTGTATGGCTTTGATATAAGCAACCCGTACACTTTTCTTTTCCAAAGCCTTCCACAATACTTCTCTTGGCACACGATCATAAGCCTTTTCCAGGTCAATAAAAATCATATGTAAATCTCTTCTTTTACTTCTATATCTCTCCATTAACCCCCTTAGTAAATAGATTGCTTCCGATGTGGATCTCCCTGGTATAAATCCAAATTGGTTTTCCGAAATAGAAGTCTCCAACCTCAACCTATATTCCATCACTTTTTCCCACAACTTCATTGTATGACTCATAAGTTTTATCCCTCTGTAGCTTGCACAGTTTTGAATGTCTCCTTTATTCTTGTAAATAGGAACTAAAATGCTTTTTTTCCAATCATCCGGCATATTTTTAGAGCGTAGAATTTCATTAAAAAGCTTGGTTAGCCACACCTCCCCCTCATCGCCCAAACATTTCCAAACTTCAATAGGGATACCATTAAGCCCAACGGCTTTTTCATTGTTCATTTTCTTGAGAGCCACCTTAACCTCTCCGATACGTATCCTGCGGTAGAAAGCCAAATTGTGATCATCTTCGTTAATTAACAAGTCCTGCAAGTCCTAAGTCGCATAATTGCTTCCCTCATTAAACAACTTGTAAAAGTATGCCTCCCATCTGTCCTTAATATCACCATCAGTAACTAACACTTTACCATCTTCATCCTTTATACACTTTACTTGGTCCAGATCTCTCTTTTTTCTCTCTTTTTGCTTTGCGATCTTGTAAATATTTCTTTCTCCCGTCTTTGTTCCTAACTCTTGATAAAACCCTTCATAAGCTTTAGTACGTGCTTTGCTCACTGCTCTCTTTGTCTCTTTTTTAGCCAACTGATACTTTTCCCGGTTCTCTACACTATTGCACAAGTGTATGGCTTTAAAACAATATCTTTTCTGTTTGACTTTCTCTTGCACACTCTTATTCCACCACCAAGTCTCCTTATGTCTTTGACCAGGACCTTTAGATTCTCCCAAAATTGCTTTAGCTACCAAACGAATCCTTGTAGCTATCTCTTCCCACATCATGTTTGCATTTCCCTGCAACTCCCAAATCCCTTCCTTCAAAAGAGTCCTTTTGAATAACTCCCGCTTTTCCCCTTTTAACTGCCACCACTTAATCCTGGGTTTTGCCACTTGATGGTACTTTTCCCTGGTACTCTTAAAACGTACATCAAGGATAAGTACTCTATGTAGGGCAGTCATCCCGTCTCCTGGAATCACTTTATAATTAGTACACAATCTTTTGTCCGGATTCTTAACCAAAAAGAAATCAATCTGTGATTTTAAGACACCACTTTTGTACGTGATTAAATGCTCCTCTCGCTTCTTAAAACAAGTGTTGACAATCTTAAGATTATATGCAAGAGAAAAATCGAGAATAGATTATCCTCCACTATTAAGCTCCCCAAAACCAAAACCACGATGGGCCCCGCTGAATTGTCCTGCTTCCTTACCAACATATCCATTGTGAAATATTTTATAAATATTATTAAATTATTAATAACATAATATAGATATTTTATTAAATTTACTGAAAAATTCAATCAATAGCACTTTTCGCAAATTTTTTATAGGAAAATTTTTGAAAAAATCCCTTATTGTAAAATTTATAGCCAGAATCTGAAATTTATTTAAGTACTTAGGTGCAACTTATCTTTAATTATGTATAAACTGTGCTTAAGTATGTGCAAAATAAAACTCATCTGTATAATTATTAGTAATAAATCTTGAAAATAAAAAATTAAAATAACAGAAAAATTTGCCCTTCTCAATTCAGCTCTCCAATATCAAGCCAACTCTTTTGTAACCTAATGACAAAAAAATTCTCCTATAAATAACCTTAAATTGTTAGTGTGTTCTCTTGCCATGGAAAAAAGGGGTCTTCATATCTGACTTGGCTTCTCTCCTACCGATCTCTCCACCCCAAATCGAAATTTTAATGGTATAGATTAAATGTTTTTTAAAATTATTTT